TTTTCTGCTCTTTAGATGGGTTCTCCACCTATGAAGGACTCTTCATTCCATTCCCATTCTGGAAAGTAAATGCTTCCTTTTCATATTGCAACTCAAAATTAGATCTTCCCCAGGGGAAGCACATCACAGAACTAGCACAGTCTAGTGATGCGTACGTATGTTACCTTAAGTTTAGCACTTCGTCAACAACGTCAACAAGTGAATTGCTAATTTCAGGTATGCATGCTTATAATAATCATAAGTTAGATAGATCCTCGGCACAGAATTGTTAAAATCACTAGATGATCTATTGCAGATTGCTAATTTTGTCAGAGAACAAGAAAACAAGCACGACACTATTATGAGGGTTCACTTGCAGCTAACACCACATGAACTTACTGTTCATTATATTCAGAGAACAAACCATTAATGAAATCTCAAATTGAGAAAAAGTACAACTAGAAAAGTACTTCATGGTGAATGATTTAGGCAGCATGTGAAGCATACCCAGGTTTAACTTCAATTAGCAGCTGCACTCTTGCAGGTTTTACCAAATTCCTTCTTACATATGATGCATGGTAGAAAGTGACAACTGTGGTAAACATGAGAATCCTTGCAATAATTGGTGTCAAGCAGATGTGACTAGCCACACACAAGATTTCCTTGCAATTCCTCTCAACTCAAACTTGTTGCAAGCTGCTATTTTAACCTTCTTTCCCCCCCACCTCCTTGGGGTTGTCAGCCACATGTCTTTGCCTTAGACTCAGTAATTGTGTGAAGTGGTCCCGTATTTAACAAGGTTGCCAGACAGGGCCCATAATGTTTTACTCATGACCTAATTAAGATCCAAATTTAAAACCTTCAGAAAAAAATGCAAGAAATTTCATTCTCATTAGCCACTTCCTTTCTCTCATGCACATTTACACACACTCACACACACACTCTTTTATTGTACTGCCATCTTTGCACAAACGTTCACCTTTAAGTAAAGTGTTTAACAGAGCCAGCAGGATGTAGAAGGATGAACACATTTTCTCAGGAATATTGCTGTATATGTGTGTATGTGTGTGTGCACATGTGTGAGTGTCAGAGAGAAAGAATGCACAAGCACACAGAACCAACGCCATGGTACAGCAGCTATGAAGTTACACACATTACACTTTTTTTTTCTTTACAAAAGGGAAAAATAGTATAACAGCATAAAGCCATCTTGGCAAGCTTAAGATTTTCCTCCAAAATGCCTTCCAGCACTTCAGGATCTCTGAGAACAGTTTAAAGAGGGTAGGGAAATAAAATAAAAAAAAAAAGGCACTTAAACAAAGGACAAAGGCCTGAATCAAGTAAGTCATGGAGGGTAACAGCCATTTAACCAGAGCTAGGACCAATAAAAATCTACCAACCTTTTTTTAATTTCTATAAAATTAAAATTGCATAAAGTGTTAATTAATCAGTCATTTACCTACTGCTTTCACCTTCTGGTTCATTTTATGAAAAAAAAAAAAACAACAAACCCAAACAAAAAGCAAGTGTCCCTTTAATGATTTCCCCCCAATTCAGCAAAAGATGAAAGTTAGGTGTGGGAGGAAGCCTTCCACAGCTTGGCTTGCCTGCAGGTTTTCCCTGCAACGCCATCTTCAAAAAAAACAAAAAACAAAAGCAGAAGAGGGACCACTGTGCCTTCACCAATTCACACACACACAAAAAAAAAACCAACCCAAACACCCCAACACTTCTAATCCATCTGTGGGCAAAAACTACTCAAAAGAAAACCAAACAAACTGTAAACTAGATTAAAATTTGCTAATAAATACAGCCAAAAGTTCATTTTACGAATGTAGCAGCAAATGTGATAAAAGTTAGTTGGAGTCCAAGATGACTCCCAGAGGGTTAATGGTTCACACAACTGATGGCAGCTTGGGAGAGTTGCAGGATTTCTCTGTTCTCATGTCCTCAAGGGTCTTGCACCAAGTGGAGAAGGAGTGTGGAGGAAGGGTCAGGTGATGGGACTGCAGGAAGGAAACAGGCTCTTGGCACCTGTCCCACCCCCAAATCTGTGCATCAGACAACTTTGATTGGATTCAAACAAGAAGCAGAACCCAGGTAATTAAAAGTTACTTCTGATTAGCAGAAAACAGATGTGAAACCCACAGCATCCACACTTGTGACTTAGTTGATCATATTAGTCATGTATCTCAAATCAACAGAGAAGGCTGGACAGAGTGACTTAGGCCATTTGCATCTTGGAGTGGGAGAACACTGCAGTTACAGTCCAAGGTATCGGGAAACTTTGCAGCCTGTTTTTCATCTAGCCTGCCTTCTTCCTTAGCAAGTGTCTCGAAAGGATTTAAAATAGCTACCACGACTTTTGGGACTTTGGATCATGTAGCAGAAAATACTACCCAGACGGTTTTAACATCTAAAACCTGTGTTTGAAATTATTGCTTGCATTTGTTTGGGGCTTTCAGTGAGCTTGACATGTTAGCTCATATACAGTCCCCAAACCAAGTTCAGCCCTGCTGCCTGGAAAAGACAGCTCTACTTGGCTTTCTTATTGCTTGTGAATACTGAGGGTTATTTAGTATGTACAACTACAGTTTATTTATTAACAAAGGCCTTAAAAAATAGTAAAAACTTGGGGGGAAATGTCTTTAGAAGAGCTGCTGTGCAGAAAATAGTAAAACATTAACCTAATTTTGCATTTGGACATTGCAGAAATCTTTCACTTACCCATCCTATTTATGCTACTTGCAAAGGTCTCTGGGAGCCACCCTATTATTTCCTTTGATTTGGCCTTGCTAGGTTTAACCAGGGAGAATAGGGAACAGGGAATGTAGACCCTTTCATCGCTATGTGGCTGATTCTAAAGAAGCTCAGGAGCATAATGACTGAAAACAGTTACCCTCTGGGGGGGCTGTTTGAACTGGCTTCATGAACAAGGTATGGTCATCTTTATTCTCATCATCCTACTACCTATTTCCAAAATAAGTATTAGTTTACTTGCTTCCCAAGACTGAGAAGCTCAACAGGCCACACAGACAGGACTACTCCTACCCTCAAGATTTAGAGGATACTCCTCAACTGAAGATGAGGCATACTTTCAGGAAGAGAGGAATGTTGAAAGGAAATTTGTGCTGTAGTTATAAAGGGTTCCAAGTCTCCCAATCTAAAACTTCTTTAAGTATGAAGACAAAAGATGGCAATTTGAATGAGATGCCTTGATGAGGAAAACATAGAAGAGGTAGAACTCTCTTAGGACAGGGTCTTTTTAAATATATTGCTGCCTGATGGCTCACTGCTGCAACTCCCTTAACTACATGCATTGTTAAAAAGTATCAGGTTTGACACAGTTCAGAGAACTAGCAACTTGCCAGAACTGTTAGGCCTCAAAACCCAAAAGTTGTCTTCCTTCAACCCTTCCTGGAGAAAAGAGAAAAAAAAATCAGATAAAGCTTGCATTCTAAGCAGTTTATGGTATTTTGACAGAATTTGCACAGTATTAAGAATGCCAGAGTCTACGTAGCTGTATGTTTCAACTCTAAATAACCTTGATGATGGAGATGCAAGCTTATCTAATCAACATGCCACATACAAAACATTAGCACTAGCTAAAAAGCATTTAATTGGCAGATGCTGTGGAGTGAAATTAACGAACTAATGCATCTTATTTTAATTCAATCTGTCTTTCACAGAAGTGTTGTGCAAAAACATTTATTGCTGAGCTCAACCCAACATTTTTATACTAAATACACAATATATATTATTTTAAATTCACGTATATATATTTATATAAAATTAAAATGAGCTCTAAATAGAAAAGAAATTGTGTCTGGTCTAAGAAAAATAAATCGCATGTAAAAGAAAGCTGAAAGCTATAAGTTAATCTAGCAAAAAACATTGAAGATTCATTATCCATGGGTCAAAGTCTCTCTGGAAGGTGTGAGATGACCAGTAGTCACTGGTTCAATGTGAAATCAAACTACTGGAAAGACTAGCTACTAGGAATTTCAGCATCTCTGATCAAAGGAATGTTTCGGGGTTGAAGGAGAAGGGCATCATACTATTTTATTTGCTCCTTTCCCCTATGACTTACTTCAGTTTCTGCCATTCTCACCTTTTATCTGACAGCACAAGGGACTCAACAGCAAAGATCTGTCCTAGTGTCAAAAAGTGCAACATGTGCTGGATACTTCCTAACCTTACAAATGAACCAGTCAATGTATTGCTATCCAAAAAAAAAAAAAAGCCAGCTTTGCAGTCTTGTGCTACCACATAAGGAAGAGTTCAGGTCAGGAACTCCCCAGGCCAGCAGGGGCTGGAAATGCTGGAGACAACCCATTCAGCCCCGTGAAGAGAAGGCACCTCTGGTCGCTTTTGAACGACTCCTCTTTGGCTAATGCCTGAAGCAGTATTAACCTGGCTCTGGAATAGGTCACGATCAGCTTTCTTTAACTAACACATCAGTATAATGCATGGCTTTTGGGAGGAGTTAGATGAAAGATGAGGAAGATCTAGAATGAGTAAAGAACTGGTTGTGTTTTATAAAAGACATGAATAGAACATTATTTAATTTCCGTAGCAGATAAGCACAAGGCAAAGAAAAAGAAAGTTTAACAAATGGAAGGACTGAAAAATCAGTGTGCCTTTAACAAAAAAAAAAGATGTGGGAAAGAAATGCTAGTCTGACCAATAAAATGTGGGTTTCCTTTTCATGTAAATGGAAAAACTTCCATCACCTTCCTCCCTTAAATAAGAATCTTTATATTAAAAAAAAAAAAATCAAACAAGGAGCAAGGGATTTCCCAGTAGTCTGTGTGTCACATCTCGATGTACCAGGAGATCTGTTTTTGAAGACAACTCTCTAATGAGACTGCATACATCTGTAGGCTCCCTAAAGCCAAACAACCTTGCAAAGCTGGAAAAATGCCAGTATCAGAAACTGCATTTGTGTAAGGGTTTAATTATAATGCAAAGTATCCCAGCACCATCTCTACTCTACATAACCTTTGGTCCACAACCATATAGTACACTCAGGACCTACAGATAATCTTACACTGGGCATTTTGGGCACTAATGAAGTGGATGATTCCACCTTAAACAGTGGATGGAGAAACCTATTTAGCTCCTCTCATGCTTTCAACTCTTCATTGGACATCACCCAGAAAAAAAATGTTTGTGCTGCTGTGGGTTTGACGATCAATTTCTTTTAAAAGCCAATCAGAGCAGATAAAAAAGCTTGTTTCTTTAGGCAAGATCAAACTATGACCAGTCTGCATGACCAGGAGGACCAGTCCTCCTTTTCCTTCTCTCTTCGATCAAGTATTGTTTTCTTTTTCTTCTTCCTCTCACCACAGTGCTTGGGATCAGAATATGTAAACATCGACAGAAACAGCAGCCCTGTGACAATAAGCACTTTCCCAACTGGGCAGATTCTGTCAGCCAACCAGAACTGCTTCAGCTCCCTTGCTTGTCCAGAAGTCACTGGTTTTTCCGCTGTAACTTAGTGTCCCCTTTACTTTGGCCTCCATCTGTAGTTTAAAGACAGGAAAAGAAAGGGAAGAATAAAAGCATGAGTGAACTTTTATTTTTATAACTTACAGCAAAAGAGACAGGAATTTGGCATATTCAGCTTCAGCATCACCAAAAAAAGTACATTGTCTTCACAGGGTGGAAGACTTTGCATCTTCTCTGTAGTTAATTTATTAGAAATAGCACTGTTGAAACCTGAGATATCAGGCTTCATACCAAAAGATACCATCTTTCTAAAGATTAAGTTGCAGCTTGGGATACTGAAAAAAAAATTTAAAAATCAAACCTTTCTTTAGAAGCCTTTACATTTTAATAAAGCATTTTTAGGGTTCAGCCCATGGCACTCACTGTGATAAAAAATTAAGGTTGTACCAAATATAGCCAATTGGTTTGTTTTCACAGCCTCTTAGAGCATCACTGCCCAGTTTTTTGGTGCTGAGGACTCTGAGAACAGGATGAAGAACCCCCACCAAGCCACTGCCACCCTTCCTGTTCCTTCTCCTGGCAAAAAAAACCCAAAAAAGCCCTACAGGTGGCAAAGAAAGGATTACGGTCTAACCTGCACCTTCTAAAGCTTTATGATAGTTTCAGCTCTAAGCCTTCTAACAGCAAAAGGAGATTTTCTACTTCAAGCTTGTCTTCTCAATCAAAATATGCAACTCTTATCAAGGATAAAATTCCCAGGTAAGGCAGATCTTCCATTAGGAAACCATCACACTGTTCACACACGTATGCCCTCTTAGAAGAAACATGAAGAAGCTTCTAGTTGGAAGGTCAGTTTCTCCTCCAAAGGAGAAATTAAAATTGAGTGGAAAAAACAAATCTCGCCAATACAGACTTTTTGCAGCCTGTAAACAATCATGTTAGCATCTAGTAAGCAGTATTCCCTTTTTCCCACTAGTTGAATTTGTACACTTTGGTTTCTAGAACTGCTACAATAATGTATTAATGAAATTTATGAACTTTTTTGTTCCTGACATTGAAGACATGTAGAAAAAAAAATTGTTCAGGTTCCAAAAATACTGCTACAATAGAATGTCTGCTGCTACCAAAGCCTGTCCCTGTGTTGTGTCTTCTCTAAACCGATTTCAGTTCTGGTGTACATTTATTTCAGTCTAAGGCAGAAATCTGACTTTTAAGTTAAAAATAAGTAATAATAAAAATACGATGTCTTTACCTGTGTAAGCTTGCTGCAAGTGAGCAGGCAGAGGTGAGTGAGACAGCGTTGCTGCGTGCTGAGCACCTGGCTGTAAACCCTTCAGTAAGTCTGGGAAAAAAAAGCAGAGCAACAAAGAGGAAAAATAAATCTTAAGGACAGAGGCAGCCTTTGTGAAATAGGAAGTTTTTATTTTTGTAGTGTAGCTATAGTAGCATGCTAATTTGCACAGATTTCTGAAGAATGTATCTCAACAACAAAAAATAAATACCTGATAGCATTCTGATGGCTGGAATAAGTCAACAGAAACAGACCTATTCAGACACTGATTAGAAGTCAGAGCAAGGACCATGCCTCGCTATTGGGATGCAACTCTTCATATAATTTCCTTCGGCAGAAAGACCAAAAATTGATATAGGTTAAAAACCTAAAGAATTTCTTTGTAAACAATCGGAAAAAATAAATGCCATCTTGGTTGATACTTCTCATAAGAGAACTGTTTGACATCTGAGATTACTGAGCTAAGGATATTTTGAGGAATCACCATATTAAGTCTATTATTGTGACATTTGGAGACCTTTAAGCTATATTCCTTTCTAAAGATAAGGGATTAAAAGTTAACCCAAAAAAGCATGTTCGAAACTAAGTATATACTGTGAATGTAACAATGAAGTTAAGCTTATCAAAGGTGATTCATAATATTTGGATAATTACAAAGTTTTACCAGCGAAGAAATCACATTTACTCTCCTGTAGGGATTTTCATGAACCAAATTTGAGTCTCAGAATTTTATTGCTTGCCTTCTTAATTTTCATTTTCAGGATGCATTTTTCCTTATAGCACAGTGTGAGAACTAATTCCACTCACTCTGAGTTAGGCTGTGGTGGAAAGCCGCTGAGGTAGATCCCGAGGTGGTTGTCACTCCAGCTGTGTCTGTCCCAAAGCCAAGCAGCTCCAAGGGAAACTGGAAGGGCACAGTCACAGGAACAAGGCCACCCAGCATCCCAAAAGGAGTTAATGGTGCAGACGTCACGTTCTGACTGGTTACAGACAGGGGTGATGCCATGAGAGTCAGAGGTGAGGCGTTAGCCAGTAATGATGCTCCTGCTGTTGACTGTACAAAGAAAAGGAGTACTTCAAGATTTTAAAGCTTTGAGTTGTATTCTTTAAGGAGATAAGAATCGACTGTTTTCTGTTAAGTGTGGCCCTATTAGTGTATTAAACTGTTAATAAATATCCACTTATCACCTATGAGGTCTTCCCACTGTTCATCTGCTAAGCAAGTACAACGATATCTCAGATTCAGACATGACAGTATGGTTCATCTCTCATGTTTTTCCTCATCAGCCTTGCAGGTAATTCCCTCTATCTCCTTTCTAATTATGCACTGGGTCTACAGTCAGAATCTAATGCAACATCTTCTATTAGATTAATAATACGAAATTATCAGATGTAGATCTGAAATTCTTTAGAAGCACAGTATTACTCTCCCCTCTCCAAATTTGGGTCTTAACAGAACACTAACTTGATTTCTAAAGAGGTTGCTCAGAAGCAATGATTTTTTGAAAATTAAGATTCATACATAAGAATCCCCACACTTCAAGAGAGGTCAGGTTACCAAGATGTAGACATAGGTATGTATGTATAGGTGTGTATGCACACATCACAACAAAATGCAAAGGAAAATAATCTCTCCACTCTACATATGTCACAATGAAGTTAAATTCACTGTAGTTTAAAAATGAAAATGCAAGATTAGCCAGAACATTTTAGCTACAACAGCTCCCAAATTGCATTAATTCCTCTAACATTAGAACAGCTCATTCTTGTTTAACAATCTTTCCTTCATTATGCATATAGTAATTTTATACGCTAATGTTCAATTCTCTAATGATCTACTACAAAACAGTTAGTATAGAAAGCATTTTGAATCAGACTCAAGCTCAGATATTTTAGATATTTGAATTAAAGAGACTCAGACTGAACAGTACTTCAAACCTGTGCATTCACACAAGTAAGCCTTAACTAAAGCCAAAACTTAGAATCATTTTAATGAACACATGAGCTTAAAATGAAAATGAAATCTCCTTGAGTTCTGTAATATCACCTTACAGAAACAGCAAAGTAATGAAAACTCCTAGCAGGGAAAAAGTTTTGGTCTTAAGGTGTTCAGATGAAAGCAGCTAAAGAAAGGTTAGTTGCTGCTTACAAGAAAACACAAAATTTTAAAACAGTAATCCTGTAGGTGTAAACAACTACAGATGTGATGTTTGTAGCAAGTGTTTGTATTGGTCATCTTAGGAGTGACAGCTTCTGAGACATACTCCATCCCACAAGTAGAAAAAAATGGATGAAAAACTTCAACATACATGATTATTCTCTTTTCCCTTTAAAAGTACCAATTTCACAATAAGCCTATGTACAAAACATGACAACTGTTCACTGTCTATGTAATCTTTACTGTGCAACAAAATAAAAGCCATACAGTAATCTCTTGCAATTGTGGATTTTTAAAATGCCTGAAAACAGAAAGCAGCTTTGTAATGTGCTCTGCCAAGACCTTGCTTACTCTCTCAAAAAGGAGGAGAGAGAAGTTCAGTGATGGAAACAGCTACAGAGAATGCACTAAAGAGTTGCAGTTCAGATGTTTCTATTTATCTCACCTATGATAGCACTTCATAAAAGGGTTCATCCTGATCATGTAAATCTGAGTTGCTAAGATCCTTAAAAGTCTAAGCCAGATTCTGCTCAAGAGTACTAATGGTAGGTAGAGCTTTTTAAGGAAATCACATGTGATAATTGCTCAATTTTAGATTACTTTGACTTTGTGTTCTTAAGATGTAACTTAACAGAGTATGCCAGAGTAAACTTTCTGTGGAGCTACAGCAGGTGTAAGCTTATATTCTGGTAAATAACTGTGTCAATCAAAAGGGGAAAGGAGGGAAACTTCTTGGAAACTCTTCCTAGTTAGGAATATCTTTATTATTACATGAAATCATCTAGTCTAATCTCCAATGTAAGCAGACCACAGGGTATTCTAATGAGCAACTCAGGTACCATTCTCATCTTCTGACCAATTAATAGCATCTTGGATAGGGCTTTAATCCCTAAACCCTTAATGGAAAGGAGATTCAGTCTTATGCAAAGTTTTAAGAGGGGTAACTAACTCCTTAGTACATTGTACCTAACAACTAGTCTGGAATTGATTAAGTTCAGCAGCCAGCCATTAGATCTTTAAGGCTAAATAAAGCCCTCTTATCACAAATCTCTTCCCCTTCAGTGTACTGGGACTGGGAGGTAACTTGATTCTAATCTTCTCTTGAACGTACTCCACTGACTAAGCCTCAGTCTGTGCAGTAGCAACAGCCTTATTCCATGGTTTATCTTCCTTGCACCATTCTTCTGAACCATTTTTAGGTTATCAAAGTAACTTCTGCAGTGTCAAAAAAACCCACATGTAAAGTCACAATAATTATTTTAGTGATACCATATGTTGCTCAGTACCTCTAGGTGATTTCCCCCCTTATATATACACCAACACACCTTATTTTGCTGTATTACAGTATGCACTCATGTTACTTGATTATCCACCACACCCCCTCCAGTCCTCAACATCACTGCCTGCCAAAATGCATTTCATACCCCAGGTGATCAGTGTTTCTATAAAAAATTACTTGCCTTTAACTACAGGAAGGTTTGCCAGAATTCATCTCATCATCCAACACAATACTACTTATTTCCCTCATCCGTCATCTTTAAGCACTACCACACCCATTTGACATTTTCTTCTACATCATAGCAATTGTATCCACTGGATTCTGTTGATTGCACCAGGAAAAAAACCAACTCTGCTCCTAGTCCATTCGCTGTAGCCTTTTTTGTCTCCTCCAGGCACCTTCCAGAGTACCCAAACTGCACTGTTTCTGGCTCAGCTCTTCTCTAGGCCCTATGTGAAACCTCAGTGGCCCTTACACAGCATATGGGTTGTGGTTTTTTCATTCAAAGTACCCAAAATAATAAGAAGGCTGTATCAGAGCCTGCCAGACATTTCTTGTTTACTGGAATAGACTTAAAGTATAGTAGGATGAAAGACCATAGAAATGTCTAGTAAAAATCATCTTCCTCCTGTTATTCAGCTGCATTAAGAAAAATTTGATAGCAAGCTGAAAGATTATAAACCATTGCTAAAAGCTGAGTATACATCACTACCATGCAATAGCTATGTACACTGTTGAGAAAAAACCAAAGCTTTTCCATTTGCGGTACACCAAGACACTGATTTACAGCAATATTGCTTTTCTAAACTACTTAAGTAGGGAAGACTTCTGGACAGAGAGAGCAGTAAATACAGAGGAAAACCTCAAATCATCTCACTAATTAAATAATTCCCAGTAAGAATGCACAACTTGGGAAAGCAGGTTGTCTTCTGGGTAAATAATAGGTTTGCATGGGTTTTAGAACAACAGTATTTTCAAAATATTTGTTTTGTATGACTTGTTTTACCTCCAATGATAAAGTTCTGCATAAGCTCTCTCAAACAGTTTCTAGGATATTTATATATTAATGAGGTGTCTCATTCAGTTTGACTAGATCTGACAAAATAAAATACATATTCAATCACAAATGCTAAAGAAAAGCCCTTGCAAGTGTTAATTTTATATACAAGTCTTGCATTATACTCAAACCACACGCAACTGAACTCTAGTTTTGCAAATTAATCATGAAGCTTGGCAACAAATGTACCAAGACACCTTTTCATATGACCACTATCATTACAAATAAGTAAATATGCGAGAATACACAAATCCAATAACACAAGAAGATACCACATCCCCTGAAAATATGGCCACACAAAGCTTACCTTTTCTAGTGCTCTTAAAAAAAAAGAAAACAAAAGTGAATTGTGTTCCACAGTATAGACCAACCAACATTTTACAGTGAGGATTCGTTCCACACTGATCCTTGCATTTCACATCAGCTGGAAATACCTATTCACTAGTGCGAAATGGTTTCAACAGTATTAGCATTTATGCTTAGTAAAGTATAAACATTAAATTTATGACACATTTTCAAATCGAGATATTGCAAGAAAGAATGTTTACAAAATAAATGTGATAAATATTAATGTAAGGTTTAAATGTAAACTCGTTAGATGCGTACCTGCACACTGGCTGCTACAACTGGAGACCCTGAGGCAGAAGATGGTCTATGTGGAGTTGACAATTGTTTAGTAGCACCCTGTGTTCCACTTCCTGCTCCCCCAGACAGACTAGTCCTACTAGCTCCACTTGAGTTAAGGTTACTGCCTCTGCTGGCAGGTACATTCATTCCAACTCCACCCAAATTATTTTTACCAACAGTTCCAGGAGAAGAGTTGGGCAATTTTGAAGAAGCCTGAGGGTTCTTTGCAGGCTGAAGGCCTGAGGTGCGATTAGAGGGCAGCAAATTCATTGTGGGAGACTGCCTGCTGATATTTACACCACTGGTCTGTTTATGAAGGGGGTTGTTGCTGGAGTGACTACTCTGGGAAACTAGTGCACTTGAACTGGAAGAACTGGGTGTTGTTGCAGGCCTGGGGGATGAGGTGGACTTGGATGAAAATTTAGGTGATGCATTGGGCTTGGGTGTAACAGAGGGCTTAGATGCAGTGGGCTTGGGAGAGGCAGCAGGTTTGGGAGAGGCAGCCATGGAGAAAGGAGGCTTGAAACCCTGGGAAGAAACTTGTGACACCATAGCCTTGGCTAAATAGTTACTAGAGGTAGAGGTGCTGGATGTTGTCCGAGAAACCAGTGGGTGAGACACTTGAGAGCCACTTCCAGATGAGGGATTAGACAAAGGCAGGCGATACACTACAGACTTATCTTGAGCCTTGATGACTGGTGATGAGCAAGACAGTTTGGGATTACTACTCAATTTCACCACTGGATTGGTCTGTGATTTACTAATAGTTGCTTGTAAAGGAGATACATATTTCTGCTGTACAGCTGAATGCTGGTGCACCTTTGTCACTTGTGATGTTGAGGAAGAACCACCTTGAGCCTCAGAAGATGATACCAAGATATTAGCATCCTTGGATCTTTGAGAGGAGGTGGAAATAGCTGCTTGGGTCTTAGAGGAAGAAACATGAGTCTGCGAAGAAGAGGAAGCAGCTTGGATCTGGCTTGACCTCTGTAGTCCTTGCTGAAGTAGTTTGGCTGGCAAAGGCTCTAAGGAAACCTTAGGATTTTGAATTGAAGATCCAGCAATAAGGCCTGAAGAGATACCAGTGTGAACTAGGTCCTGGGGTTTCTTTGGTACTGGCCCTGTGTGACCAGCAATAAGACTTGATGAATGGGGTGTTTGAGTGGGCTCTACTTTCTTTGAAGTTGCCAGGGGCAACTTACTCATAATGCTTGCTAGTTTCTCTTCCCTCAGCCCAGGGCGAGGTCTGGATGTTGGTGTGTCTATGGTGGACCCAAGAGGTGATCCCTTGGCACCATTATTGATAACTGCCAGAGCATCAGAAATTGAGTCCAGTGAGGGTGGGTGAAAAGAGAGGTCTTCATCCAGTGAGTCGTCCAAGCAGATCGTCTCTGGAGCTGGTGTGCAGCTAGAGCTGGCTGGGGTGCAGACAGGTGTGCTGGAACTCAGTACAGTAGCACAATTTGAATTGACTGAAGACATACAGGTTTTCTGTTCTTTCTTTGGACTGGAGTCCTGATAATGAAAAGATAAGAAAAGACAGGTTTAATAGACTTTTTGGAGTAGATCTAAAGTCTTCTTTAGTGTAATACTATTATTCTGTAAATTCAGATGAACTGAAGATTTGAAATTTTCATGTTAAGATACCTATGATATCTAGATGTTGGAGTCCTGTGTGCTAATTCAATATTTGTATTTAAAAACCTAGTGCTGTTGCTCCACATAACTAAAAGCACCCCACACAGTTAAGATTAACCAATGCTGTGAAAACAGGGTAGCTAATCTGATCATTAGGTAAAATTGCTACTGAAGTAAGACAACACCTAGTCGTGTCTAATGAGAACCTCTATCAACTTACTACGTTACCCTCCCAACCATACATTTTTCCAGTGTTGCCAAATTTAATACAAGCTGAAAACAAACACAAAGCACACATTAAAAAATGTGAAACTTTACTGGAACTAGTACCTCTTCGTAGTCAATTTTTAAAAAACTAATATAACTTAAAGTTACAAAGTTATACAGAAGTCTTTTATACTACTTTCTTTAAAGTAATACATCACCAAGTCAATAAGCTCTTACAGCATTTCCTGATGGAACCCTTCTGCCAGAATTCTTCTGGATCAGAGGCAGGAAACAGGTTATATCAAATGCTCATATAAAATTCAGATATCTAAATATGCATTTACCTTCACTTTGGGTTTAGGGGCCAGAATCACCTTCTTCTTTGCCCTAAAACGGGAGATACATGCACATCAGAAGACAAAAGAAAGGCAAGTCATTTTAGTTTTAACTGTTACCCTGATTATATCCCAATAAACTAGAAGGATGACTACTGGAGTCCACCTTTAATAATAAAACATCCTTGAAATAGAAAATGGGTTAAAATATAGGGGGGAAGAGAAAAAGCACACTTTTAATCCATTTTTTTTGTCATGTATCTCTAAGTTAGTTAGATGCAAAATTCACTGAATTGCTGATATAACCTAATATATATCAGGAGAGCTATTTTTTACTTTTCCAGTTTAGAGAAACTTCAAAAGATCAAGTCATTTCAACCTCTTACAATCTTAAAAGTTTGTCTACTTAGCAGAGCTTTGTCTAAACTGAAGTAACATACAATTTCACTTTACGTTGATGTTTTTATCACTGAGGAGTATACTTCGTGTTCTCATTTATATTTCAAACCACATAAAAACAGTTGCTTTTTTTTCTCCCCAAAAAAGTGTTTTGTCGCTTGTCAACTGTGGAACAGTTGTATCTAACCTGTTTGTTGCAAGAAGCCATTTAACAAACTTCCAGGTTCTTTTACAGTGTAAGTGAACACCATAGCACCAACTGCAGTTATGCAAGCAAGGACAGCATTAAGGATTATTAGTCATCAGCTTCAGTTTAGAAGTTAAGCATTTCACACCTTTTCTCATTTCTATTTCTTCAAGGGGATCAACAGATTTACATCCTGTAGGTCATTTATTCTCCTTTCCTGAGCAACTAGGAATATGCCTGGTTAAAAAGAGATCTTACTGTAGGTGGACCACGACTCGGTTTTGCTATTATGTAGAAAAATATCCTATGTTATTCATATTTATCACAAAGGTTGCAATTTAGGTGTTATTCAAAGTCATAATTGTTTATTTGAATTCTGGCTGAATGTGGGCAGCTCCTGAGAGGGATAGCATTGTCTGAAAAATCAAGAAGGTAAAATTCCGCTAAGATACACAGCCTTCTGTGGTTACAGAGATATTTATGAGCAAAATAAAAGAGCAGGAAGTACTGCTGTCTCTGAGTTCAATATAATATGCACAGCAAAATTTAGGTAGTGTATAGTGCTTTGAAATACTTTTGAGTAAAAGGCGTTAATCCAAGAATGAATATCCACTTGGGTTATCTAGCCACTTCATAACTGAGTTAAAATACAATGCCACAAGAACATTACAGTTATATCTCTAAATTAAAGCATTAAAAAAATTATTAACATTGTAAGCCTTTTCAAACAAATCCCAAAATATCACCCTTTCCTCCCCGCTGTCAAAAAAAGGTAGCATGAAGATGGGAAAAGATGCTATGAACAACTTAAAAGATACTAGTAAGTTGTCAATATTATACTCACGGAGCAGAAGTGAGGTGATTGTGAACACTTCGGCTTTCTTTAAAAAGCATCCTAAAAGAGTGGTGAGAAAAACATAAGGTGATTCTACAGGGACAATCAGCATATGACCGCCAAATATGCAAGTATCCTTGAATTTTCAGAAGAACCCTTTGATTATCTGTCCCCAAAGCAGCTAGTAGATAGTTTGTCTGTATTGCTATCATGATGTAGTTCCAGGCAGCCATAAACAGAGGAATGCTAAAACCAAAAAGATTTTAATTTTACATTCAAAATACCTCAGTAAATGGCCAAGCAGAAGTCAACGAAATGGAATATTACCTCCTTCAGCTGGACAGAAGAAATACATTATGAATACTCTCTCCTCAAAGACTAATGAAGTATTTTAAATATCAAATTAAGGATTATTGTAAACTCTTCACACTACGTGTCCACATATTGATCATAGGTTTGGGTTTTGTGGGCGAGTCTGTTGTGTTTTTTTTTTTTTTAAAAGCAGTGAGGAAAAAAGTCAGAATACAGTAGCCGAGCTTGTTTGTAATTTTCTTCAGTATTTTGTATAGGACATTGTGTACCATTTCTGTGACTTCAATTACACAGGACTTACACATACATTTTACTACAGAGCCAATGAATGGCAAGAGTTGGTATGCCAAATCTCAACACTTCACATGCTTTTATTTCCACGTTATCAACTCCTGAGCTGACAAATGGGAAGTGAAAACAATTCCTGACCTGTACCTATCCTACAGTTTGCTACCCAAACGCAGCTATAAATAGACAATTAATGAAAACTTCCCTGTTTCCAGGTAGGCAAACTACAACAGACAAGATTTTC